CTTATCTAATCAAATCAAAATTCGCGTAAGCGAGTCGTATTACAAGTCGGGGTAACGAGTGGATGCAGCCCGAGGTAACAACTGATGACGGGACACATAAAAAGATTCGAGGAAAACATCCCGTCGGCAAAATCTACTCGAAAGCTCAGAATCGCTTCGAGTAAATTTTGGGGGGGACTAGATGATATAGCCACACTGGCTCATAGCGGTTCATATCATCACGGTTCGAGACTATCAAGTCGACTTCAATAAAGTCGACTCCACTAGTAAGGTTCCACGATACTCAGTCAAGAAGCCTGGCTCTCGACCGAGTCGACGTACACCTGTCGACTAGATTAAGTCGACCTCTGGTAAGACAGCGGTCAGACGTATTAGGGTCTACTAACGGTTGAATGCGACCCAGTCGACTCGACGCAATATCTCAGGTCGACTGAAGGAGTCTCGCAGTTCGTGGTTCTCAATAGCTTTGACACACCTCAGCATATTGAAGAAGAGTTAAGGATAAGAAGGAAGCTAATGAAGGATCTAGATGCTGACTAGGAAGTAGGCGGAATACGAACCGACCGGGGTATTCTGGACATTTCCATTAAGTCGGCCGGGGCACTTTGGGGACTTCAGGTATATATTGTATTCCTATATAAAGGACTGAGGTAGTCTCAAAACCCTAACTCCCATTCATTCTATATCCTATTCATTACTGCTGCTGCTCTCATAGCAGCTCCCATCATCTCTCTCATATACTGACTTGAGCGTCGGAGGCTCTACGCCGGAAACCCCTCCGGCGTTGAGTTCTTGCAGGTGTTCTTGCGGCTCAACAACGGTTCGAACGCCATCACATCAGATCTAAGCTCATTCACACCGGTTCGTTCCGGATCCGGACGTTTTCCCATTGGACCGTTCCAGATCTGAGAAGAGACCCATCATATATTATTTATAATAAATATATATTAAATAAATATAAAATAAAAAATATAATAAATAAATATATTCTGAAATAAATAATAAAAAATATATTAAATATATATATAAATAGTATCATATTTTTTGATATTTTTATTTATTATATTATTTAATATATTTATTTATTTGGTAAACATTATTATTTATTATATTATTTAGTATATTTATTTATTTTTTAAATATTTAATTAAAATACAAATAAATTTTAATTATAATATTTAATATTTTTATTGAATATATTATTGAATATATTTATATATTATATATATTATTCAATTATATATTTATTTTGTAAATATTTATTTATTAAATTTTTTGTATTATTTTATTATTTATTATTTACTAAATAATAAAATCATAATATGTAATATTTTTATAATATATTTATAAATATTATTATAATATGTAATATTTTTAAAAGTACATAATATTATATTATTTAATATATTTAATTATTTATTATATATTTAATAATTTATTTATAATATTTACTCATTAGTAAATATTTATTAAATATATTAATAAATTTAAATGAATTTAATAATATATGCATAATTTTTTATTATTAAAAGTAGTACAAATTGAATAATATATATATATAAACTTTGTTGGTAGATATATAATTGAAGCTAAATAATTTACATAATGGGTGCTAGCTCAAGTGGTTCATGAGCTCTTTTTATGCCCCATTGGTCCTGGGTTCGAATCCCCTTCTTAGCACATTTTTTCAACTATTCCACATAAGCGCCACGTGGCATTACAACTCAGCAAAAAAAAAAAAAAAAATTAAACGAATCTCCACGTAGCTCAGCCGGTCATAGTGACCTGATATAGGCGGTCAGAGGACCAAAAAACTAATTTTTTTTTCAGTTAGGGGACTATTTCAAAAAACAGTCCACTTACGGGATCAAATTGAAAACGGCCTGCAGATAAAGTACCAAAAAACTTTTTTTTTTTTTCGTTTAAGTCATGTGCTTTGAAATTTTGCTGCAAATTTCATACCTTTAGCTGCCAAAATTCACAATATATATATGTGGGATGGCAATTGCTTAGCAATTGAAGTTCCGTAATTTAAAACTTTGTTGCAATTCTAGTCATTCTGACCGTCAGAATGACTGAAGCTGCAACAAAAATTCAAATTATACGACTTAAATTGCTATATATCACTCTACTGAAACCTGAATTGCTACCTTAATCTAATAGGACAAAAATTGCAATTTAGCCATCTTTTCTTTGTTACTATTATTATTAGTTACCAACTATCATGGATAATCACCTCCTTATGAAACTCTTTGCAATTTTCGAGCAAACGGCTTGCTGATTGCAACCATCGAACGAAAGCTATGGGCGTAAACTATTAAAAGAACTTACTTGTTACAATTAGACGAGTTGAATCCATCGCCGGATTGACAAATTCCTTTCCATGATTTCGGTACATCATCCATTCCTATATCATTGAAGCTTTCGGACTCCGGCCACACACCTGATATCAAACATTGAGTGGATTAAAAAACAAATCTGAGTTCTACTTTTTTCTACTCTCATTACTCAACCACATTCAGAAGTGAAATAGTAAGAATAGTAAAAAAAAAAAGAAAAACACGAATTCACCAGTGTCCAGCATTCCAATAATCACATTCTTGCCATATCTTGATTTCAACAACAAAGAATCTTTCTTCTTCAAATTTGTTGCGCCTCGTAAACCCGCAAATTCCCATGACCTTGTCGTGTGCAACGAGTACTTTCTGGGATAGCTCCGAAGCACAGACACCACTTCTTCCCTTTCTGTCGAAAATCGAACCAAACGACACCTTAAAGCTCACATAAAAAGAAAACTAGCAAAATATTGGATTAAAAAAAAAAAAAAAAAAAAATGTTTTCTGCTTACCCGAAAGTTTATTGGCTTCTTCTTGTGTGAGAAAAGCGGCAAAGCCATTAATGCTATACTTGTAACTGTATATAAGAGAAGAATTTGCATCTTGCTCGGTTTCCTTCACGGATAATAGATACGAGAGATGGTTTTCTTCGATTTCTTGGGTTGTTTTTGCTCCTCCATGCTCTCCAAAGTACACTATATATACCTGTGGACAAATGTTAATGTCTTTTCAGTTAAACCGGTGAAGATGGAATTATGTTTTGAAAACTTTTATTACAACATAGAATAGTTTGTGTTTGAAAAGAATGCATCAACCTGTTTTTCCTCGAGCAATGAATTCAGAAGAGGAAGCATGAAGAGGAGGAGAATAATTGATGATTTAAAATTTTCCATTAATGTTAAAGAAAAAAGGTATGTTGATTGTTGATATTGCTTTAGCAATATTAATAAACTTGTTATATCAATACAGGCCACAATATATTAATTAACCCTGAAAATGATGACAAAAAAATTACAATCAAAGTCTGGATTTAATTAATCAACGTAATTCTTGAAATTGCATAAAACTAGCTACGGCAAAAATTTAATTTTCGTCTGTTTACTTGTCTAATTTTTTTTTTTTTTTTTTTT